ATGATGCTGCGCCGGTAGCAATCTCGACGAATCCCGAAGATAGCTTCCCGTGTTTGTGGTCCTCACCTCGCATATCCCGAACAGTTTAGAACCCGAGGGTGCAAGCAATTACATTAGGTCGAAACATAGCACCGGCACATCCTAAGCGCGGGCAGGCACTTCAGAGGGCTGTAGAGCGGAAGGAATTCGACAGAACTGGTGTGAATCAACTCCACCGAACGGAAATCCGCATTGCTTCAATCTCGGCTCTCCACAAGCCAGTGACTCACGAAAAAGCTTGGAGCCACTACTGTCAGTAGGATGCCTCTCCCGGTAGCCTGCGACTGGATGGCCCGGATCGGTGGCACAAACATACTTGAGTGGTTTCATGCCACGACTTTTCGTCGGAACAACGACCTGCTACAAAATGCTGCGCCGGTGGCAATCTGGCGAATCCCAAAGATAGCTTCCCGTGAACAGCTTAGAACCCGTGGTTGCAAGCAATTACTTTAAGTCGAAACATAGCACCGGCACATCCTCAGCGCGGGCAGGCACTTCAGAGGGCTGTAGAGCGGAAGGAATTCGACAAAACTGGTGTGAATCAGCTCCACCGAACGGAAATCCGCATTGCTTCAATCTCGGCTCTCCACAAGCCAGTGACTCACGAAAAAGTTTGGAGCCACTACTGTCAGTAGGATGCCTCTCCCGGTAGCCTGCGACTGGATGGCCCGGATCGGTGGCACAAACATACTTGAGTGGTTTCATGCCACGATTTTTCGTCGGAACAACGATCTGCTACAATTGCTTGCATGATGCTGCGCCGGTAGCAATCTCGCGAATCCCGAAGATAGCTTCCCGTGTTTGTGGTCCTCACCTCGCATATCCCGAACAGTTTAGAACCCGAGGGTGCAAGCAATTACTTTAAGTCGAAACATAGCACCGGCACATCCTCAGCGCGGGCAGGCACTTCAGAGGGCTGTAGAGCGGAAGGAATTCGACAAAACTGGTGTGAATCAACTCCACCGAA